GACTTAATCTCTTCTTCATTAGGCATTGCAATAAGATACTCATTTTCACTTTGACTGATGATTTCAGGAATATGCTGGAGAATATCATTATGACTGGTCTCAGTTTGTACTGCATAGAGTCCAGAGAAAAAGTCAACAGCCCCTTTACCAATATCATGTAAAGTGGTAAGTGTTCTCCCTGCAGAGTCCTGAATAGAACTAATTTGCTGCCTTTTTCTTCTGATTTTGACTAAAGAGTGGAAGTAATGAGAATTAGCTTCCCCATCTTTTAACCATTTAGCCTTAGCTTTTTGCTTCCAGAATTTTCTCTCAATTCTGTATTTACTCAGTAGAATTGCTTTTTTATGTTGCCAATTCTCTCTACTTTCCTCAGAGTTACATTCTAAATATTCTTGTTCAGCCTTTGACATTTCCTTCTCAGCAAATTTAATATCATCAAAAATATTCCCAAAGACCTCCTTATTCCATTTTTTAAGATTCTCCTTGAGTCTTTGGAGCTTATGAACCAGCCCAGACATACCCCCACCAGTAGAAGTGTCCTTCCAGCAACTAGTAACAATATCAAAGAAAGATTTATGTGTGAGCCACATATTGAGAAATCTAAAGGGTTTGGGACCTGACTGGTAATGATGATTGCATTGTAACAACATAGGAGAGTGATCAGAGGGCGCTTGACAAAGGTTGGTCAGTTGGATAGAGTCAAAAAGGTCTAGAAAAGCATCATTAGCCAGACATCTATCCAGTCTTCTCCATAATCTGCCTCTAGATCTAACCCCAGTCCAAGTATACTTACAACCTGAGTATGGCAGATCAGTAAGATTGCAATGAGAAATGCAATTTTGAAAGTCCAACATACTATTCTGATTGGGAATAGTGATCCCTTTATGTTCTGCATTTGTAAGAATAGTATTAAAGTCACCACCAACCAACCAAGGCCCTTGAATAGATCCAGCAATTTGATTCAATGTGGACCAAAGCTCCCTTCTTTCTTCCTGGGTATGTCTGGCATAAATTGCAGTACACCATCCAACATAAGAGCCATAAGAAAATTTAAAATGGGTAGATTGAGGACCCCAGGTAATATCAGTAATTGTAATTATATCAGACTTCCAAAAGATCCAAACTTTATTGACTGGGCTAAAAACAACATGAGAGAAACCAAACTCCAATTTAAAAGAATCAGCTTTATTTGAATGAACCAATGGTTCAATAGCAATAAGAAAATTAATCCTCCATTTGGAAATTAAATGAGAAAGTCTTGGCCCGGAGGCAGCCAAACCCCTCAAATTCCATATGAGGCCATTCATGGAATGGTTGGTGGATTAATCTGTGCTTGCCTCCTGGCAGTACTTCTTGTTATCACACTTGGGGTAGGCTGATTATTTTTTGCCTTCTTTTGCCTCCTCCTTCTCCCCACAGTAATAAACTCTCCCCCTTGATTGCATTGATCTTGTATGTTGTCACCAGTGTGAGCTAAAGCGGATAAAAGTTCAGTATCCTCCCTGATCCCCCTTGACTTGATCAGAACATTCACCTTCTTTATGATACTTGGTAAAGCTATTAACCAATCTTCTTGTGTTTCTTTTTTGCTAGGAGCTTCAGAATCAGATCCATATTCTTTGGCAGCAATTTCTGGATCAAAATCACTAGCTTTCTCCAAGCTAAGTAATGAAAAATCATCCTTAATTGCCTCACAGTGGTCTGAAGTTGATAGCCCAGGTATATTACCGTGAATTAAGTACTCCAAACTTGGTTTGTTAGTCTGAGACACTGTAGGTATGCTGTCAATAGGAGTAATATTCTGCAAAATAGGTGGTGGTTGTTCATGAAAAACTTCCTCAACTTCTGAGTCAGAGTTCTGACAAATAGTTAAATCATGAATCTTAGATGATGATGGCAGGTACAGAGCAGATGTTGGCAGGTTCTGAGCAGAAGTTGGCAGGTTCTGAGCAGGTGATAGCGGCAGTGAGGTTGACTGATCTTGGATTACAACAATAGCTTTACCTTTGTCCTTTGAAGGCACCCCCCCTGAAGTTTGATTAGTAATAACAGCTCCTGATGTAATATGAGTAGATGTGTTTTTTCCAGATAGTTTGCTAGCAACTTCCTTATTATCACCTCCCTGAATAGCAGAGCTCTTTTTTACCACCCAAGTGGAATGCTTAGCAGTAGTCTCCAGGTGAGGCATTTGGGGAACATCCCCCCCCTCAATCATCCTTTTAGGGCATTTGCCAGCTTCGTGACCCAGATGTAGGCAACTGAGACAGTAATGTGGTCTATACTCATAAGTAATAGGTTGAACAAAACCTGATTTACCAGCTTGAATCCAGATTTTATTGGGCATTTCTTTAGTAAGGTCCAATTCTACACAGATTCGAGCTTGAGATGGCCTTGCCAGAGTAGCAGTAGCCACATCAAGCTTTAACGGATTCCCAATCAAACGAGCAATTTCAAATAAGGCACTTTTATCATGTAAATGAATTGGGAGCCCCTCAAGAACCAACCAGACTGGCACAATAGGTGATTCAACGTTAGGTCTGAAGTCTGGTGACCACTTGGTTACCCGCATAATATTCCCATAGATATCCCATTCCCGACGATTCCAACATCGAATATAGTCCTCCTCAAGATCAAATCTGATCAATATGTGTTTTTTCTCCAATAAGCCAATATGGAATCCACCTTTAAACCCTATGATTTCAAATGATTTGCGTATAGTATTCATAGGCGGCCGTCCTTTGTAGAAGTAACCCACGAGTGCACGCTTGTGTTTATCAGCAAGAGATTGAACATCATTCTCCACAAATGAAATAGAGGGCATACCTTTAAATCGTGCATGAGTCGTTGTAAGAGTGATTTCCTCCTTATTGAGTAGAACGGAAACAAAAGATCTCTTCGTACCCCAGGCACTACCTGCCGGAGGAGGTTGAGCCGGAGACGGCAACGGAGCCGTAGGTCTAGGTAAATCGCTCATAGTGCACCCTATCGCAAGGAGTTTTTTTTGTATTCCCAAAATGTAAACTTATTAAATACGGAGTACTAAAAATAAATGCATGATGGCTAAAGCTAAAATCCTAAAAGACTAAGGAGGTGTTTACTTCACTGCTAAAGTCACAGTTAGGTTAGTAAGACAGGTGAAGTAAACACGCACACTGCTTAAAAAGCCGCTTACTAACCGAAAGAGGTGCTTAAAGTGTCGCTTATTAAGCATACCACCCCCCATGTATTAATTAAGCGGCACTTTAAGCTTTTTCAGTTTCCGAATTTACCACTTGCCCATAACCTATTGTTATCCCTGCCCCACCTCGACCCCAACCACACCCTACCCCGACCCCACCTACCCTGACCCCACCCTACCCCCGACCCCACCCCACCTACCCTAGCCCACCCCGACCCCACCCCTACCCCACCTACCCTACCCCACCCCGACCCGACCCCTACCCTACCTAACCGACCCCCCACCATACCCTTACCTACCCCGACCCTACCCCTACCTACCCGACCCCCTACCATTACCCCCGACCCCACCCTACCCCTACCTTACATGTCCGACCCCACCCTACACGTACCCCACCTTACCCCTACCCTACCCCCATTACCAGACGCCCCCTACCCTACCTAACTGTCCCCCACACTACCCTTACCCCACCTACACTACCCTTACCCCGACCCCACCCCTACCCTTACCCCACCTACCCTACCCCTACCCGACCCCACCTTACCCCTACCCCTACCTGACCCAACCCAACCCTACCCCGTCCTACCCCTACCCGACCCCACCCTACCACTACCCTACCTACCTAATCCCACCCCTACCCTACTTACCCGACCACACACCTACCCTTACCCTACCTACCCCACCCCTTACCCACATACCCGACCCCACCCTACCCTATCCGACCCTTCCCCTACCCTACCCCGCCTCAACCCCCACCCTACCACTACCCTACCTACCCAACCCCACCCCTACCCTACCTACCCAACCCCACCCCTACCCTACCTACCCGACCCACCCTACCACTACCTGACCTCAATCACCCCACCTTATACCCCTTACCCCACCCCTTACCCCACTATACCTAGGGTGGTGGGGTCAGGGTGGGACCGATGTGATAGAGGCGCTAGGGGCAGGGTAGGTGTGGTGGGGTAGGGGTAGGGGGTGGGTTGGGTAAGGTGGGGTCGGGTGGGGTTGATGTGGTAAGGGCCTATGGGGGTAGGGCCTATGGGGTCGGGGGTAGGGTTGTGGTAGGGTGGGGACAGGTTAGGGTGGGGTCGGGTAGGGGTAGGGTCAGGTAGGTAGGGTGGGGTCAGGTAGGTAGGGTAGGGGTAGGGGGTAGGGGTAGGCGGTGGGTGGGGTCGGGGTAAGGTAGGGTGGGTAAGGGGTTAGGGGTATGGGTACACATATTATATTATAAACTTGTGTTCATGAATGTTTGTGTATATATATGTATAGGGTTATTTTGGACATTTTAATGTTAAGCGGTGTTTTAAACCGTTTGAAGTAAACACGATCTTACAACATTGTTTATTTTATGCGCCGCTTATTAACACGGGTCTTAATAAGCACCGTTTAATAACCGGTGAAGTAAACATGTCCTAAATATTATTGGATTTCTTACGTTATCCCAAGCAACATCTCAAAATTAATGTTTTTCTAAATTCGACGTTTTTCAAGTACAAACTTTTACACATAAACAATAATAAACGTAGAAGCCACACATTTTTCTCGCACCACATTATATCTGACTTGATTAAGATGACGACTTTAATTTGAGTGTTATTTGATCAAGAAGATGATGGTAACTTGGTCTAACTCTATGGTTATTATGCATTATTTATTTGACATTATTTTTTTGAATTATGTCTTGGGCTTAATTACTATTTCTTCTTTTTATCATCAATTTATACAATTACGAATTATTCTTCAGTTGAGTAATGAGATTTGTTATTTGAATGTGTGTATAATTATTCCGCCACCCACCCCACCACACCGCCGCCCACAAGCCTGTAATTGCCCACCAATCGAAACTCGGCCTCTACGATCTAAATCCCTAGACGTGTGCCACCATAACACGCCGGCCCCATCTAAAACCCTAGCCGCGTCCCATCGATTCCAACCACCGTTCACTAACAACGCCCATCGGCGATAGAAAAAGAGAAGAAGAAGAAATACAGAGATGGCCCTTGAGAGATGAAGCAACGGCCGACGAAGGAGGAGATGAAACTGTGGCAGATGATGGGTCATGACTCATGGGTGAGAGATGAACCAGCGGCCGACGATAAGAGATGAAGTAGCAGTGGCCTGGTGAGAGCTGAAGCGGTAACTGGATCTTGAGGCAGCGGCAGTAGACCTGTGATGAGAGAAAGAGATGAAGTTCTGATCGACAATATTGATTAATTAAAAAAGAGAAAATTGCTATTGCTAAGACAAAAGCATAGGTTTTTCCCAAAATAGGACTTAGAAGCTGTTCTCTTCACCTGATCTAAATGTTTCTGATCTGAATTTTTTAAGTTCTGATCTAATCTGATTTTTTCTGATCTAATCTGATCTGAATCTTTCTGATCTAGTCTGATCTGATCTGAATCTTTCTAATCTGATCTGAATGTTCCTGATCTGATCTGAATGTTCCTGATCTGATCTGAATGTTTCTGATCTAATCTGAATTTTTCTAATCTGATCTGAATCCTTCTGATCTGAATCCTTCTAATCTGATCTGATTTGAATATTTCTAAAATTATAATTATAATTTTAATTTTAATTGTTATAATTAGAAATGTAATTACATATATATAATTTAAATATAATTATAATTATAGTGTCACATGTCGGCCTGCATATGTGTTAGTTACCAAGTTAGTTGTCCACTCAGCAAGTTATTGATGTGGCGCACACATGTCGGCCTACATATGTGTCGGGTCAGCAATTAACCTATATATGGGCTCACACGTGGGGCACCACGTCAGCATAGTAACTGCTGACTAGGGTCGCCGCATGTGTGCCGCTCAGCAGATAAATTGTTGTCATGACGGATGGAAGCCTATACCGTACAGCCGGTGACATTTTAGTAATTTAAATGAAATTCACGTATTCTGTGAAATGAGCATTAATGTATTTTTAATGAGTATCAGACATATTTTGTTGAACATTAGAAGCTTAACAATGAGTATCGTGATCTCTGCTTCCTATCTTCGAATTTTTTATTATTTTTTCTTTCGTAAAATCTTATTGATTATATCTATAATCAACTTATATGAACTTCAATATGTGAATCTAACGCAATGTGATACTTTTGAAATATGCATTGGTATGACATTTAAAAAATGAGCATAAGTTTTTTAATTGATCATGAAGACATTTTAATTGAGTATCGAATCTTCTTTATTGAGTATTAGAATCATGCGGTTGAACATCACGATTTGTGCTCATGGGTTTATAATCAAGTCTTATGTTAAAATATAATGAGCAGAACACCGGTACCAAATGAGCATACACAACTTACAAAATCAGTATCGAAAAAAAACCAAAATCTCATTTGTGCATACACATTCATTTTAGGAGTTATACTCATTTGAGTTTAACATAAAAATCATTTTGTGTATGTAATGAAGTGGTTACGGGAAATAGCAAAGCCGATGTGATGAAATCCATTAATGTCTTCCCCAATGACTCCGGCAATATAAACACAAAATTGAATGAGTAGAGTTCATAGTTCATACAAGTGGACATAAATCATTTCGAAATTCATTTATTTGGAGATGAATTCATAGAAGTGGAAATTTGATGGTTATTTGTGATTTGATTGCTTGAGGTTTTTTTAATGTGAGATGGTTTTTATTGTGTTGTGATTTGATTGCTTGGTTGCTTGTGAAATTGAAGAAGCAGTAAGAAACGAGGATAGAGCAACGAAGAAGAGAATTAAGCGAGCGAGAGGCATATTCGTCAGAACGTGGAAGAGATTAGGACAGAGCAACGAATTTGGTTGTCTGTCGTTCGCTAGTGAGTTGCACTGATGCATATATAATTACAAAAATGGCCAGTTGTACGGTGCTCGCCGTACAACCGGCTGTACGGTATAATTTACGGTGACGGATAACATGTTAAATGACTCAATTGAATGCTTTATAAAGTTCGGGAATTTGATCGAGTGTTTTTAAAATATGATAATTTAATTAACACTTTCATGATAGTACGGATATAATTGATTAAGTGTTTTCAAAATATAATAATATAATTGATTGAGTGTTTTTAAAATATGATATTACTATCTGATAGTTTTTCCTTTAATTAACTATACATGAAGACTTTATATATGAAGACTTTGTATAGGCAATATTTACTCGGAACGTTTTTCAATTGATGGGAGCTTTGGTTATTATATTGCCTACTATAGTTTGGAATTTGGAAACTCGACTTTTCTAAGTCGGCCGATTATAAATAACTACATGAATCAAGATAGTGTTAGGAATTAAACTCACGTACGCGAATAACAATTAAAGAACACATGAAATTTGGTAACCCAGTTCGCCACGAATGACTACGTCTGGGGCGCTACCAAGCAAGAAATATTATTGCTATTTTCAGATCAACACATGATTACAAGGGAGAGAGCTTGTATTTATAGAGAAGTAAAACTTAACCCCAAGACAATTAGGATGCGTTTCCAAAAAATAAATTAAGAAACGTGTTTCCAAAAATAATTTAAGAAAAGCTTGGTTATACAGTCTCTAACACCTTACAATCTCCCACCTTGAGACTGTCTTCTTCAAATCCTCCCTTGTTAGCATGGTAGCGCCGGCCTTCAACTTCAAGCACCAAGACCAATTGAAGCTATGCAAAGCTTCAATTTCTCCAAGGTTACCGCCTTAGTAAACATGTCTGCTGGATTCTCACTCTCACAGATCTTCACAAGCTGCAATGCCTCTATCTCCACAAGATGACGGATGTAATGATACTTCAACCGAATGTGTTTGGTTCTCTTGTGAAAAGCTGAGTTATTTGCCAAGAAGATAGCACTTTGACCGTCACTGTAAAGAATGTTATTCTTGTAATTCTTCCCAAGTTCCCCAAGTATATTCTGAAGGCACACCATCTCTTTACTTGTCTCCGTAATGGCCACATATTCAGCTTCAGTGGTAGATAATGCAACAATCTTCTGCAGCAGTGAAAGCCAGGAAACTGCTGTCCCACCAAATGTAAAAACATACCTGGTGGTGCTCCTCGATCCATCCGAGTCATTCGATGTCAGGTCTGCTTCAACATGTCCCAACAGCTCTACATTCTTCCCATCAAAACACAAACCATTAGAACTGATGGTCCCGGATTGAGGTAAAAGTCTAGAGGGGGGGGGGGGGTGAATAGACTTTTAAATCTTTTGCAACTTTAAAAACCTTTTCCCTTCTAGATGAGTTGATCTATAATCTTTTGAGAGATTAATAGATGCACAGCGGAAGTCTCTAACCTCTAGATGATTATTGCAAGAAAACTTTCTATTATTGATGATGTTTGGACTGGCAGTAGGCTTGGCAGTTGGCTGGTGGGCAGATTACTGCTGAGGCAACTGCTGGGTTGGCAGTTGGCTGGAGGGCAGGGAACTGCTGAGGCAACTGCTGAGAAACAGGATGACTCTTGGATAGGCTTTTTGTTCTAACTATTATAGAGTTAAGAGAGACATGTATGGGTGGGCAGTGGGCTTAGCAGGTGGGTGAAGACCAGGGTACTGCTGAGACACCTTCTGAGTTTTTGAAATCTTCTTCGTGGAAAGTAGTCTCAAGGAGAGTGAGTTATTAAGCAGTAGGATAAGCAGTAGGGTCAGTTAAGACTACTGCTTAGGATGCTGCTGACAAACTACAATCCTTTTGTGAGAAGTGTTTGGTGTGTGCTTTGTTATGTGAAAGTAAATCAACACACGATGTATCCTGGTTTAGAGGTGGTGTAATCCTCCTACATCCAGTCCCATTCTCTTTCAAATGGATTTCCACTAAAGTATTCAGCCAAATACAATTAGTGCCAATCTAGCCTTGACAACTCTGGCATAGATTGAAGGCGTTTCACGAGGAGTATAACACCACTCCAAGTTACTCAAACCTTAAGACTTTTCTCAATTGATCCAGTGGGGATCAAAAGGTACTCTATCTATCTAACCACACCTTAGGATCCGAACAACTGTTCTCCTAAGTGTTTACAACCTTGTGAAATGTTTCACGAAAGTTCTGACCGCCAACTAAAATCTAAGCTCTATGAATGTTACAGTGAATGATCTAGTCTAAGAGCTTAGTGAAGCATGAGTCAAAGCAGAGTATTCTAGCACTTTCTCTTTTGCTGGATATTCGTAGTGTAATAACAGAATCTCTTGCTTTGAACTCAATGACTTATCTTTGAACTCATGCTTCTGCCTATTTTTATAGGCATCTCCATTAGATTAATTTCCTCCGTTGGTTGAGAGGATTTAATCCTTGACGTCCAAAGTTTTGTACTTGCGTCTTCTTGTGTTGGAGCAGGATAAGGAATTGTCTTTGAAGGCCACTTGCTTTGTACGAATGGTAAACCCATACCTTAGGCCTTATCACTTCTTCTCGCCTAATCTGATGTCTTCACTGTTCACTTATTCTGATGTCTTTGGCATTGTCTTCCAATTATACTTGTGAAGCTAAGTGCGTGAACCTGCTCAATTTGTGTAGTGAAGTAGTAAAATGTGTGACTTAGAATATTTTGTACCAAATAAAATTTGTACTGGTAGGATCTTTTAAATATCCTATTAAGGTAAAATTACCTTATTGCATTTTGTTCTTTCCAGTACAATTTATTTTGGTACAAATTTTACAATAAAATTTGTCACTTATTTTACTAATCACTGTCTTTCTTTAAGTGACATGATTAAACTTATGTACCAAATAAAAACTATACTGGTTGGATTTAAATATCCATGTAAGGTAACAAGAGAATTTACCTCATTGCATTTTATAATTCCAGTATGTTTAATTTGGTACATAGTTTTTACATTGGTGTTTTTGTCACTTTTAGAGTTTGTGTAGTTTAGCAGGTATTGTGTACAACTTAACTGGTAGGATAACAAATCCTATTAAGGTAAAAGTTATTACCTTATTGCATTTTGTGTTCCAATTAGTTGTTCACATTTCTTGTTCATTAAACAAATAGATTTAACTGGTTGGATTTATATGATATCCTTTTAAGGCAATAAAATATTGCCTTATTGTATTTTATGTTTTTCCAGTTATATTTATTTGTTTAGTTGATCAACAGAACATTTTCAGATGACATTCTACTAGTAACAACAGGTCAAGCAGAATACAACATTTTTGACTTCCTAAAGCTACAAGTGAAGGGGAGAAATCATTGAGGAGTTTTGGCATCATTAAAGAGAAACTGTTCATCAAAATCTTGTAGTCTAACAATTTCCCCCTCAGTTTTCCTTGATGATGCCAAAAGAAGATAGAAGTCAAACTTCCTAAAATAG